GGAGTAGAGGGAATATTGAAAAAGAGCACTAGATTGGGAATGTGGATTTGACCTCATAGAACCTCAACTTCTTTTTGAGGAGCCTGATAGCCATACTATCAGGAAAATGTTGCTGTCAACAAGGTACAAATTATGGGGCTGCCAAGGAAGGGGACTCCATATCAAGACAAAAATCAAAGGCTCTGGAGGTAGTCTGAGCTGGGCATTAAAGGAAGGTGGGAGATGACATGAGAAGTAGGGGAGAGCAATTTGAGCAAAAGGCACAGAAGTCAGAAAATACAGAGCATGCTTAAGCATCAGGTTCACTAGCAAGGGAGTATATTTGAAGAGGTCAACCACATCATGAAGAACCTTACATTCTAGGAGTAAAGTTTTTTTGTTTTTTTAAATTTTAAAATATTCTCTATACCCAACCTGGGGCTTGAACTAAAAACCCTGAGATCAGGAGTCACATACTCTACTGACTGAGCAAGCCAGGTGCCCCAGGTGAAGTTCATTATTTTTCCTGCTACATTTTATAAAAGATTTGTTTAGGAGTATGCATGTGCACACTCGTGTGCAAATGGGGGAGGGGTAGAGGGAAAGGGAGAGTATCTACAGCAGACTGCCTGCTGATTGCAGAACCTGATGTGGGGCTTTGGGGCTTGATCCCATGACCTCGATCATGACCTGGGCCAAAATCAAGAAGTGATTAATTGAGTGAGCCACCCATCCAGGAATGTCTCCAAATGAAGTTTATTTTAAAAGTTGTGGGTTTTCTGGGTCATTTAGGCAGGAAGTGACAGATTTCAGTGCTAGACAGTTCATTTTTTTTTCCTCTTAAATTGTAGCAAAAAAAAAAGTATATAATATTGTCACCTATATGTGCATTATGCATAGATAATTTTTTTTTTTTATAGTAATGCCCAGGGTACCTGGGTGGCTGAGTCTGTTCGGCGTATGCCTTCTGTTCAGGTCATGATCCCGGGATCACCACTGGTGGTCAGGCTCCCTGCTGAGAGAGGAGATTGTTTCTCCCTCCCTCTGCTACTCTCTCTGCTTATGCTCTCTCTCTCAAATAAGTAAAATCTTAAAAAAAAAAAAAAAAGTAATCATGTCCAATATGGGCCTCAAACTCACCACCCAGAGATCAGGAGTTACGCCCTCCACCAACTGAGCCAGCTAGGCGCTCTGACAATACACTTTTTAAAAACCTTTTATTTTTAGAGAAGCAGTAAGGTGTATTGTAGAATTTTAGGAAAATATAAGCAAATTTTATGGGGTACCTGGGTGGTGTAGTTGGTTGAGTGTCTTGACTGTTGGTTTCAGCTCAGGTCAGATCTCAGGATGGTGAGAGTGAGCCCTGCATTGTGCTCTGCACTCAGTGCTAAGTCTACTTAAGACTCAACTCTCCTCTCCCTCTCCCCCTCCCTCTTTCCTCCCTTCCTGTGCTCTTTCTAAAATAAATAAATCTTTAAAAAGATATAAAAACACATTTTTAATAAGTTTATTTTTTATTGGTGTTCAATTTGCCAACATATAGAATAACACCCAGTGCTCATCCCATCAAGTTAAAAGCACATTAAAAAAAAAGATTTTGTTTATTTACTTGGCAGAGAGAGAGCACAAGCAGGGGGAGCAGCAGGTAGAGGCAGAGGGAGAAGCAGGCTCCCTGCCAAGCAAGGATCTGGGTGTGGGGCTTGATCCCAGGACCCTTGACCACAACCCCAGTCAAAGGTAGATCCTCAACTGACTGAGCCACCCAGGCACCCCCTAAAAGCAAATTTTTAAAGTTCATGTTCCCAAGGATCATCATCCAAATAACTTCATATCTTTCTGTGTTTATATGTGTAATACTGTTTTTTTTTAGGAGAATGATTAATAAGATGGAATCTTTTAATACTTTAAAATGTTCATGGAATTACATGCTTACATGTCATAGAATCATTGAATCCTATTTCAAGAAAGGGTTTGGTAATTAAACTTTGACAAAACATTTATGTAAGAAATAGAATCTTACTCTATCCTGAAATAAATACACTTAGTTATAATACATGGTCTTTATTGTTAACAGTCTTCAGTTAATTAGAGCAATCTCTATAAAAAAAATTTTGCAGTTAGGGATGACAGGAGACTCCTTACCATCCTTAGCATATATATATATATATATATATATTTATATTTTAAAGATTTTATTTATTTATTCATGAGAGAGGCACACACACACAAAGAGAGAGGCAGAGACAAGACAGAGGGAGAAGCAGGCTCCATGCAGGGAGCCTGATCGGGACTTGATCCCAGACTCCAGGATCACTCCCTGGGCCAAAGGCAAGCGCTAAACCGCTAAGCCACCCAAGGATCTCCCTTAGCATATATTTAATCAGAACTGTATTTACATTTACAACAGACAGGTATGCATACTATTCTGCTACAGGAAGAAAGTGGTCTCACTTGGTCCAGTGGCCTTTGTCCATTATACCCTTATGGTGTACATTTGGTATTTTAAAATCAAAATGAGATCATACTGGGGATCCCTGGGTGGGTCAGCGGTTTGGTGCTTGCCTTCGGGCCCAGGGCGTGATCCTGGAGTCCCGATTGGGCTTCCTGCATGGAGCCTATTTCTCCCCTGCCTGTGTCTGCCTCTCTCTCTTTCTCTCTGTGTGTCTCTCATGAATAAATAAAATCTTTTTTAAAAAAAACCAACAAAAAGATCATACTGCTTTATGTCTTTTTAAGTTGATCTCCACCTCTTCCTTTCAGTAAATTTTCATTTAATCTGATACTCCTACCATACTCAGTTTCTCAAGTGATCTGAATATGTCATTCACAATTTGTGTGTGTGTGCAAAGGGAATTTAATCTAAGGACATTTATTAGTGGGTTTTGTTATTCATAGTTCTTGATCAAACCAATACCCAGTCTAGGACCCAGGTTGCATCTGGTACGTTCCTTTATTCAAACTTCTATGACACTTGTTGAAGAGTGTGGGTCAGCTGACCTCCAGAGAATTGTAGCCATGTGGAGGATGGACTAGAAAGAATAGGGCAACCAGTCTGATGAGAAATGACTGAACTAAGACTGATGGTGGAGATGGAGAGGCAAAGATGGATTTGTTGCAATACATTTCATAGGTATAACTGACAGCGTTCTAATTGATGACTAGATTAGGAAGTGAGGGGAAAGGAGGAGTCAGGGATGAAAGGCTCTGACTTCAGTATTGAGCCTTCAATAGGAATGAGCATATTGGAAAGGAGCTTAAAGGGAAAATGATTTTTGGACAAATTGAATATGAGATGATATCTCGTAGGCTATTGTATACATAGGTCTGAAGCCTACATAGATGCTTTTAAAATGACCCATATTTTGGAATATGACACTTAATGGGATGAGTTGAAGACATCTTTTTTTTTTTTTTAAGATTTTATTTATTCATATGAAAGACAGAGAGAGGCAGAGGGAGAAGCAGGCTCCATGCAGGGAGCCCGATGTGGGACTCGATCCCTGGTCTCCAGGATCACGGCCTGAGCCAAAGGCAGGCGCCAAACCGCTGAGCCACCCAGGGATCCCCTCTTTTTTTTTTAAGATTTTATTTATTCATAAGAGGCAGAGGGAGAAGTAGGCTCCCTGCAGGGACAGTCTCCAGGATCATGCCCTGGACTGAAGGTGGCACTAAACCGCTGCGCCACCAGGGCTGCCCAAGTTGAAGACCTTTTTAATGGTATTGGTAAAAGTGGACCTATATTTGGGGGTAGAGGTAGTTAGGTTCTCACATCACACCATACTCAAAAAGTAACAATCTAAACATAAATATATTGAAACTGCAAAAGTGCCTGAAGTATCTTAGAAGCCGTAAGGAAAATGTCAGTCGATTTAATTATATAGAAGATTTTCAAGTTTGGTACTGTAAAAGCCATCTTAAAATTCGAAAATAAACTACAGATTGGGAGAAAATATTTGCAGCCTACATAATAGGATAATATCTGTGGCAAGGGATAATCATCCCTTCCAAGATGTTCACATCCTAATCCCTAGAACCTGTGAATATATTATTTTACATGAAAAGGAATTAAAATTTGCAGTTGGAATTTAGATTGCTAACCTTAAGGTAGTTAGACTTTGGGACGCCTGGGTGGCTCAGTGGTTGGGTGTCTTGACTTGGGCGCAGGGTGCGATCCTGGAGTCCTGGGATCAAGTCCTGCATTGGGCTCCCTGCATGGAGCCCACTTCTCCCTCTGCCTATGTCTCTGTCTTTCATGAATAAATGAATAAAATCTTAAAAAAAAAAAAAAGACTTTAAGATAGGCATAGTATCTTGAATTATCCAGATGGACCCAATGTAATTACAGGGGTCCTTAAAAATTGAAGAGGGAGGCAGAAGAGATCAGTGACGTGGAAAAAACTTGCCTTCCTTTTGCTAGCTTTGAAGATGGAGGATAAAGGCCAGTAGCCAAGGAATGTGGGCAGCCTATAGAAGCTGGGAAAGACAAGGAATGAATTCTCAGTGCCTACAGAAACGAATGCTGCCCTGCCAACCTTGATTTCAGCTCCATGGGACATGTCAGACTTCTGACAAATTTGTGTTGTTTTGTGGTAATCTGTTAGGGCAGCAGCAGAAAAGTGGGTAAAGGATATGAATAGGCAATTATAGAAGAAATCCAGATGGTCATTAAACATATGAAAAGGCACTTGTTTTTGTGGTCTTGGGGATGGATGAACTGACCCAGGGAGAGAAAAAGAGGGCTGAGAAGAAATGGTCAGAAGTGTAGGGAACTTGTGGATAAGTGGGCGAAGGGACCAAGAACCAACTGCCTAGCCTCAAACCAATTGTGTTCATGTGAATGGATGTATTTTTCTTCTGTTCACTTGCTGTGAAGTTTTTCTCAAGGGCAACATTGGACTCTGTTCTGGCCTTATAGCTTCACCCTGTATAGTAGGGATGTGTGGACTCCAGGCTAATTATTTGTGAGGGGCTTTTTTTTTTTTTTTTTAAGATTTTATTTATTTATTCATGAGAGACACAGAGAGAGAGAGAGGCAGAGACACAGGCAGAGGGAGAAGCAGGCTCCATGCAGTGAGCCTGATGTGGGACTGGATCCCAGGACCCCAGGAACATGCCCTGGGCTGAAGGCGGGTGCTAAACCACTGAGCCACCCGGGCTGCCCTGTGAAGGGCTTTAAAAGTTTAGCCTGCAGAATCTTGAAAACTCTACTTCTCTGTTCCTGAGGGAATACAGCCATAGCAGAAGTTAATAGGGAACTGACATTACTAGTACCTCAGACTAAAGATGACATGAGAGATACTTGTCTAGTTTAGCTAGTTTATTATTTCCACCCCACAACTGGTTTGGCTTCAGGTCTTGGGTTATGGGGTGTCAGTACTACCAGTCTTTCCTCTTACTGGATTTAGTTGGCAGGGGCCATGGGTACCCAGAAACTTGGCTAACATTCTTTGGAGACTCCTGGTAAGGGGAACCCGAGGTGTGGGGGAAGAGAGATGCTTTTCCATGTGGGCCCAATGGCAGTGCTTACAGTGTTGAGGGGTCAGGATGTCACCAGCTCTCAGCCCTGCCCCTTGCTGAATTTGGGGACCTGCAGCCTTAGAGTGAAGCTGCTGAGGGAAAGCAATGTGTCGAGAGCTCTGGTCCTTATGCTGAGATCTTTGGGAAAGTCTGTTTAAAGGACCTTCCACTGGTCTTCTGGCCTGGGCTGGGTGGCTCTTCCCTGTAACTGTGGATGACCCCAGTCTTGCATCCCCTCTTCTGTGGTCTCCTGCTTTGGGTTTCCTGGGGCTCTCTCTCTTTTTGGCTGAAGATAGGGTTGAAGCCTTGTTCTGTCCATTGCCTGAGGCCGGAACCTCAGGGTTTAAGGGCTCGCTTAGGTCTGGGCCATTCTCACCAGTCTGTATGCGAGCACATGGCCCCTGGGATGAGACCTGGGCCACCATCTTCACCTTCACTCTTTCCTCTTTCTGAGACCCTTGTTCGGCCCTGCCAGACCCTTGTGGCAGAGGCTGGGAAGAAGAGTGGGAGTGATAACAGTGGGAGATCTGGACAGGCTGAGCTACTGTGCTGTGAACTTTTGGGGGATGACAGCTTGAAGAGTGGGGGCACAAATTAGGGGGATTATTCTGCTGTGGGGGGCACGTAGAGAGTCTCCAGGAGCCTGGAGTTGTGGAGCTCAGGGCAGGGGAGCTGCCAAATGATTGACTTGGGTCAGGGGATCTGGAAGCGGGGCTCTGCTGTAGTTTCTTTAGCCTGAGTCCCAACTCTCTACTCCAGTGCCAGGCCTGGATCCCAGAGGTGGAGGGCACCTCTGGGACGGCCTCTCTCTGGGAGGATGGAGTCTCTGCCTTTGCACCTGGGAACAACTCTCTCTTGGGTATGTCAGACTGGTTGGGCTCAATCTTCAGAGCTTTAGCTAAGGTGGGAGGCCAGGGTATTGGATGCAGGAGATCCATTGCTGGAGGGCTGGAGTCCTGGGGGATCCCTCTTGGTTGCACATTCCTCCACACAAACTCAAGGTCAATATGTGGATCTAGTAGAGGAGCAGAGAGAGATCTGGGGGTTGAGGCTGGGAGCTCAGTGGCCCAGCAGTTGTCTCTCTGCTCCACTGCTTTTCCCTTAGGCTTACAGGTACATTGGTCTCTAGGAGTCTCACTTATGTGAGACTTTGACTTAGAGTTTGGAGGTGGACTGGGGTCCCACAGTGGGGACCCAGGAACACAACAGGTTTCTTTCTGCTTGTTCCCCTCAATAGGTTCACACTTAGACAGGGCTCCCAAAGATCTGGTTCCATGTGGGTCTTGGGGTAAGCTGCAAACTGGAAGCTCAGAGGTCCAGGAGTTCTTTCTCCTTTTTATATCCCCATATCTAGCCTCAGAATCAAACAGGACCCCTGTGGGGCTAGCTATGAGGGGCTCCAATATAAGAACTGGGGGTGGGCTGAGGGCCAGAGATGGGGGCTCAGAAATCCAGGAATGCCTAGAATGTTCAATGTCCTTCCATGCAGCTTCTGATCTAGTGAGGCCTCCCATATGATTGATTCTGCGGAATTCTAGAATGGAAGCTAGAGATGGGCTATAGGCAGGGGCTGGGGACTCAGAGGTCCAGAGGTTCTCTCTCTGCCCTCCCAAAGTTTTGGACTCAGACAAGACTTCCTGGGAACTCATTTCTAGGGGTACCAGCAGAGAGGATGAGGGAAGGCTGGGAGAAGAAACTGGGTCTGCAGAGACCCATAGATTATCTTTACTCTGCTTACCTTCCCATGGAGTCTCGGATCTTGGTGGGACACATTCAAGCCTGGTTCCATAGAGCCCTGGGCTGAGGTCTAGGGCTGAGGGCTTAAAGGCCCAAGGGTTTCCTGAATTTTCTCTGTGTCCACATTGGAGCTTATACCTAGGTGAATCTCCCAGAGAACTGCCTCCCTGGGGTTCTGGCAGGGGATCTAGGGGAGGGGAGGGTGATGGCATTGGAGACCTAGAGGTCTGTGGGCTCTCTCTGTGACTCATGGTTTCCCAGAAGTCCTTAGGTGCAGAAAGTCCTCCTTCAGGGATGACTTTCTGGAGTTCTGACAGAGCATCTGGGAGTTGGCAGGGAGCTGTCATTGGAGGCACAAAGGCTTGAGAACTCTCTTTACAAACTGTGGTTCTCCACTGAGTCTTATATCCAGGTGGAGCTCCCAGGGGGCTAGTTCCTTGAGACTTTGTCATGGGGTCTACCGATTGGCAAGGGACCAGGATTGAAGGCTTAGAGATCTGAGGATGCTCTCTTTGTCCTGTGGTTTCCCAGAGGACCTGGGATCCAGGTAGCCCTTCTATTGGGCTGACTTCCTGGAGTTCTGAAAGGGAGGCCAGGGTTGAGCTGGGAGCTGGCTTTGCAGGCGCAGAGGCCTTGGGGTCCTTGTTTTGCTCCATAGCCTTCCATGGGGCCTCAAACCTTGTCAGGAATCCCAGAAGGCTAGAATGATATAGCAGAGAGGCAGAGAGTGAATCTAGAATGTGTTGTTGGAGTCTGGGATTCTGTGGTACATCCCACCAGACCTCAGAGTAGGGGGAGAGCTTGAAGCATCTGGTTCTTTGGAGTTCAGGTTGTAGGTGCAGGATTTGATCCTCAGAGACCCAAGGGACTTCTTTCTGCTGCATAAACCACTGTGTATGTGCCTTAGCACCAGATAGGACTCCCTTGTGGTCCATGGGAAAGGACTTAGGATGAAAGGGTAGCGATGGGACAGAAGGGGAAGGTGGAGGAGAAAATTGCTGAGGATCAAGGGCCATCCCTTCCATATCTTCTGTAGTATGGATTTCACGGGTAGGAGGCTGAGTTGGGGAGCAGTACTGGGGAAGCAGACGGTTGGATCTAGGCAGGAAGGCAAGCTTGTTGAAGAAGGCAGAAGGACCAACAGACAACTTTAGGGGAGAGGGGCCACCTGAGCTCAGCAAGATGGCCTCCAAGGACTCACTATGCAGAGAGGGGAGACCCCAGAAGAACTGGCTTTTTCTCTGATGTAGACAGTTTCCTGATGCTGTTTTGTGCCTCATAGGCAGGTTGGTCAGGATCTGAAAGGTGGGGAAGGATCTGGAAGGGCTTGGGGTGCGTGTATGTACTTGCTTTGGTGTCCGTATGGCTTTTTGGAGGTCCTCAGGACCACAAGGTGGTTGAGATGGGGCTGTGGTGGCTTCTTCTCCAAGGGGAACTTCTTTGGGAAGAGAACATGGCTTCAGTGGATCCAGAGACACATCCTCTTCTTCCTCCTCTTCTTCCTCTTCCTCCTCTGACTTCTGCTTCCATAAGTGATCAAGGAAAGCCACATGGTACAGAAGTGGTAGGCTCTGAGTAGTAGAAAAAGATACTTCAGGCATGAAACCTTTCAAAGACACAAAGTGTGTCATGAAGCCCTCAATCTTTTTTCCAAATTCAGAGGGAAGTTACTCACCTGCTCCGTATCTGTAGCCAATAGTCACTTATGCATCTGATGTCAATGGCCATTACCCAGCCCATATTTGGAGATCCGCATTACCTTACATAACTACATCTAGGGTCAGTAATTACCTACCTGTCTTCAAATATGGTATCAATAGTCATCATCCAGCCTCACAGGTAAGACTTAGAGTCATTCACCTGGGTAATTGGCTTCTAGTCATTCCATATCAGTGATTTTTCACCTGAACTCAAATGTGGTATCAATAGTTATTCACCCAGCTGTATATCCATGTCACCCACCTTGCTTTGCATCATGTCCCCAGAGTACCAGAGTTGAAGCTGTCGCCAGCTCCCAAGTTGCCACCACCTCCGAATCTGCCAAATCATGAACAAGAATAGTGTCACCAGATTCCCTGGACTCTGGAGGCAGCTGCTGCCACAGTGTCTGCAGGCCAGGGCATGGGTCAACTGGCTCCAAAGAAGCCCCATGTCCCCTTCAGTCCCAAGCAGGCCTTCTATCAGCCATTCCATTTTCCTCAGCCTAGTGGCAGTTTATCCCGAGGTCATCACTGCATCACAGAACAAAGAACTCCCATCCCCCACATGCCTAACAGCCTTTTCCCTGAATTTAGAGTAAAAAAATTGCCTGTACCAGGCAACTAATACTTCATAACACTGAAACCTGAGTGATCTCTTTTGTCTTTGTCTGGCCAAAGCCAGAATTATGCTTCAGGCCTTGTCATTAAGGACATGGATTCTAGCATCAAACTGCTTTATTCAAATCCTACCTCTGCCACTTCCTATCTGTGAAATCTCAAACTAATTAATCTTCTAGGGCCTCAATTTTCTCACCTGTAAAATTGGAGTGATATTATTACTTACCACATAGAATTGTTTTGAGTATTAAATGAACAAATTCATATGATTAGGATAGTATATAATATATGCTATATTAAAAAATTATTTCTTGGGATGCCTGGGTGGCTCTGGTTGAGCATTTGCCTTTGGGGCAGGTCGTGGTCCCAGGGTCCTGGGACAGAGTCCCTCATTGGGCTCCCCACAGGGAGCCTGCTTCTTCCTCTGCCTTATGTCTCTTCCTCTCTGTCTCTCACGAATAAATAAATAAAATCTTAAAAAAATATATTTCTTTTGGGGCAATTGGGTGGTTCAGTTGGTTAAGTGGCTGACTCTTGGTTTCAGCTCAAGTCATGGTATTGGGGTCCTGGAATCAAGTCTTGCATTGAGCTCCACACTCAGCAGGGAGTCTACTTGTCTCCCTCTCCCTCTGCCCCTCCCCCCATGCTCTTTTGTTTGCTCTAAAATAAATAAATCTTTTTAAAAATTGTTTAAGGTTCCTAATTACAAGACTTGTTCCATCTTTAATATATGGAGTCTGTTCTCACCCTCCCCCCCTTTTAAATCTCATTTCAGCTATGAACTGTCTTATTTGACTTTAGGTTGCTTGAGATCTTTTTGGCAAGCATTAATGTTAAAGTTGACAAATTAAATGCACTTGAGTATATTTTTCCTCATTTCCCCCTTTTCTCCTAAAACTACCACTCTGTTCCACATGGACTCTTTCAGGGACAACTTTAATCTCTGCCTTCCCAGTACATTTTAATGCCTCTCTTCTCACCTCACCCCCATCAAAGGCCAGTTTAGGTCTGATTGAGCACTGAGCTGAAATTAAGATTTGGGTTCTCTAACTCTAAGCTATGTGATTTTTTTAAAGATTTTATTTATTTATTTATTTATTTATTTATTTATTTATTTATATCTTATAAATTTATTTTTTATTGGTGTTCAATTTGCCAATATATAGAATAACACCCAGTGCTCATCCCGTCAAGTGCCCACCTCAGTGCCCGCCACCAAGTCACCCTCACCCCCTGCTCACCTCCCCTTCCACCACCCCTAGTTCGTTTCCCAGAGTTAGGAGTCTCTCATGTTCTGTCTCCCTTTCTGATATTTCCCACTCATTTTCTCTCCTTTCCCCTTTATCCCCTTTCACTATATTTATATTCCCCAAATGAATGAGACCATATAATGTTTGTCCTTCTCCGATTGACTTATTTCACTCAGCATAATACCCTCCAGTCCCATCCATGTCGAAGCAAATGGTGGGTATTTGTCATTTCTAATGGCTGAGTAATATTCCATTGTATACATAAACCACATCTTTATCCATTCATCTTTCAATGGACACCGAGGCTCCTTCCACAGTTGGGCTATCGTGGACATTGCTGCTAGAAACATCGGGGTGCAGGTGTCCCGGCCTTTCATTGCATCTGTATCTTTGGGGTAAATCCCCAGCAGTGCCATTGCTGGGTTGTAGGGCAGATCTATTTTTAACTCTTTGAGGAACCTCCACACAGTTTTCCACAGTGGCTGCACCAGGTCACATTCCCATCAACAGTGCAGGAGGGTTCCCCTTTTTACACATCCTCTCCAACATTTGTGGTTTCGTGCCTTGTTAATTTTCCCCATTCTCACTGGTGTGAGGTGGTATCTCATTGTGGTTTTGATTTGTATTTCCCTGATGGCAAGTGATGCAGAGCATTTTCTTATGTGCTTGTTGGCCATGTCTATGTCTTCCTCTGTGAGATTTCTGTTCATGTCTTTTGCCCATTTCATGGTTGGATTGTTTGTTTCTTTGGTGTTGAGTTCAGTAAGTTCTTTATAGATCTTGGAAACTAGCCCTTTATCTGACACGTCATTTGCAAATATCTTCTCCCATTCTGTAGGTTGTCTTTGAGTTTTGTTGATGGTATCTTTTGCTGTGCAAAAGCTTCTTATCTTGATGAAGTCCCAATAGTTCATTTTTGCTTTTGCGCAGAGACACAGGCAGAGGGAGAAGCAGGCTCCATGCAGGGACCCTGATGTGGGACTTGATCCCGGGTCTCAAGGATCAGGCCCTGGGCTGAAGCCGGCGCTAAACTGCTGAGCCACCCAGGCCACCCTAAGCTATGTGATTTCAGGCCAGAAAGATTTCTCCCCTACGTATCGTGGGTTGGACTTGATTTATTTATTTATTCATTCATTCAACATGTATTTATTGAGTACCTACTATGGATCAGATATTGTGCTCAGTCTTGAGGAGATAGAAATAAGACAGTCTCTGCAGTAAATAGGTCTCATTTCAGTAGGGTGAAAACAGCTAAGTAATAGACAAAATAGAAATATGCATGGGGTACTATGGGATAAGAGGAGGATATCTAACTAGCCCAGGGAAGGGGTTTGCTTCTCAGGGGCTGCTTTTTATTTTTATTTATTTTTTTAAAGGTTTTATTTATTTATTCACAAGAGACACACACACACAGAGAGAGAGAGAGGCAGAGACACAGGCAGAGGGAGAAGTAGGCTCCATGCAGGGAGCCTGACGTGGGACTCGATCCTGGGTTCCCAGGATCACACCCTGGACTGTAGGCGGCGCTAGACTGCTGAGCCACCTGGGCTGCCCAGGGGCTGCTTTTTAGAGGAGATGATTAATGCTTGGTTTGAGGAACCAAGAAAATGAAAGCATAAGGAGCAAGAGAAAGACGATTCAAGCAGGAGGAACAGCCTGTATTAGGTGCTAGGGCAGAGAAAGCACGTATCATTAGGGAAACTGAAGGCATTTCAATGTATGGGGGTTGGGGAAGTGGTAAAAGATGGATCTGGAAAGATAAGTTCACCGGGGCCCCTCAATATCAATCTAAGAAACTGAAATTTACCCTGAAGATGATGGAAGTCATTGAAAAGTTTTGAGCAGGAAAGTGACAAGATTAAGTTTGTATCTTGGAAAGAACACTGGCTCTAGTGAGGGCAAAGAGATTGAGGTGAGAGATTAGTTAGGGAATTCTTGCTTTAGTTTAGGCAAAACAAAAGATGAGGCCTAAACCAAGACAGTGATGGTAAGAATGGAGAATAATTAATTCTACCAGAATACCAAAGATATAATTGGTTAGGCTTCATTACCAGTGGGATAGAGGAGTATGGGAATTGAGAATGACTCTAGGGTTTCTAACTTAGGAAACAGGGTGTATATATTAGCGCCATTTTACTGAGATAGAGAACACAGACCTGGGAACCAATTTATGGGTGGGGGGAGGTAATGAGCTCCATTTAGACATTTGTATTTGAGGTTTCTGTGACAACGAAAAACTAGGTAGGAGGCAATTAGATATGTGGATCTGAAGCTTGGAAGAACAGTCTATGGTGGAGATGTAAAATTTTATAGCTAGTAGCATATATGTAGCAGCTGAAACTATAAAAGGGCTTAAAATGATGTACTGATATGTAATATTTGGCTCGATGTGGCCAGCATTAAAAACTGGAGTAGCCAACACTGTAAAACTAGTAGATTGTACATAATAGTATTTTAAGTTTAAAACCTGGCAGTACTAGACTCTCATTTCCACAAAATAAGAGCTAAGTAGCAGTGGCTCCCCTTGTAGTGTACATGTGCCCTTCAGTTCACCATGGTTCTTACCATGTTCTCAACATTAATACCAAGCCTAAGGCTAGTTGTGGTTTATCATTGTGCCTATGATTTTGTTTTCTTATACTTGTCCACTTTTACTCATTTGTATTACCTGCCTGGTATTTGAGGTAGCAATACCTCTGGATGAAGAAGGTAAGTTGAATCCTAATAGGAAACAGGGAAAAGAATGTTGAATACCTATATACTTATATTTATGGTAGATATTTTACCAAGCTATTAATTGTTGTCTTCTACTCCTTGCCAAAGGAGACATCTGGTAGGATAAAAAGGTAACTTAGCTCTCCTCTCCTCCAGGAATTCTAGATTTCTTGTCTCATGGAATTGGTAATAGAGTTTATGTTTTCTAGTCCCAAATCAAAGTTTCAAGATACCTGGTCTACAACCTTATCCAGGCTTTTGTGTGGGAGGGGAATTTAATTTAGCTAGGTGTTCTTGAGAAGAAGTTGGAAGATGATTGAAAGAAGCAATGCCAAGGATAAAAGTGTGTCTAGGAATTTGAGAAAAGGGATATAGCAATGGGTTCCATGAGTGTTAGGGTCTGTACAGAAGAGGCAGCAGGACTTTTTTTTTTTTTTCCAGCAAGACTTCTAATGGGGAGAACCTATTTAATGGTTAGAGCACTATAGATCCAGCCACAGTCTTGGGAACTGCTGCAAAAATGCTGGTGTGCAGAGATGCTGTGGAGCCACCTGCCTTTGAATAGACCATATGCATTTATACGATGCACATCCCAGTGGCAACCATGATAGACTTAAGACCAGAGGTTATTTTCTAAGTGTTTTGGGTTTTTTTGGGGGTGGGTGGAGAGTTGTTTTGTTGGTCAATGTATATCATTCTAAAGAAGAAAAAAGCTCCCTCCTGCCACATCATGATTTAATATTGGACATCTTCCAACACTAGTAAATGAGATTTTTGAATCAGATTTAATTTAGAAAAATTAAGTAATGTGATGTATCTTGTTCTTCAGTGTTGTGGAACAAATTTATACTCCAACATTTATAACTCAATTTAATCTTTACAACTCTTTGAAGTAGGTATTGCTACTTTTTTCACATAAATGGAAACTGAGGCACAGAGAAGTTAATATATATTATATATTAATATATTAATACATATAAATTATTAATTTATATGCACACACACACAGAGCTATCCCAGAAGGCAGGGCCAGCGTTTGAGAACCCTTGCATTGTGATGAATTATTTGGATATGAGTGACAGAAAATAAAATCCAACAGGTATAAGCAAAACGTGTATATATGGACTCATATCTCAATAGTCCAGGATTAGGGCTGGTTGGCTTGAGGTAGTAGGGTTGATTCGGGGACTCATTCCAATGTCATCAGGATTCAATTTCTATTTCTTGGCTCTCTTCTGTGCTGACTTTATTCTCAGGTTTTGTGTCCTAGCAGGTTCAAGTGAAGCCGAAAATGTGGTGTTGTTCTGACAACATTGTGCTTATGGATTCTAGTTGGTCGTGAATCTATCCCTGAACTCCTGAACTGCTCACAGGTCAGAGTCATACTGTACTTGCACATGGACTGAGACTCAAGAAGCCCGGATTTGGTGGTAGTCCCTTCACAGGAAATAGACATGCTGTTTTCAGAAAAGTGTATGCATATTTATTATGTATCAAAACAAAATAAAACAAAATAGATGTCCACTATGGCTCTCTCTAACTTCTCCATTCTGTTTTCTGGCTCAGCCATGCCATTTCCATTTTAGGATCTAAGACTTAAGTTGAAGTGTAATCGCAGATCCTCTGAAGATTGGGGAAGGGGCTGGATGGACCCAGGGCAGCATCTTAAAGAGGGGGAATCTATGGGATATCTAAACATCTGAGTGTATAGCCCATTTAGTGACTCTCAATTCCTAGACCTTTTCATCTTAGAGTCCTTTACCTTGGCTCCAATCCAGCTATGGCCATATCCGAAGCCTCATCATTAGGAACTGTTCTGTCTTCTGAAATAGTTTGGCATCCCACCCTCTGACTTCAACCTCTAGATTTGTCCAAGAGATGCCAGTTCTTCAGCCTTGTTAGGACATCTATTCCACTTTCTCCTTGTCCATCAACAACCTCTTGCCTTCATTTCCTCCTTCTCTATGCTAGACTTCAAGGTCCATCACTTAATCAGATCCTAAACACTTCTCAGTTCTTCCTTTCATCATTTTTACCTGGCAAAATCCCAATTCTGCCTCTAAGACCTGCCTTTAGGAAGCGACTCAGCCCTATTGGATAAAATCATATGCGTTGATGTCACTGTTAATTAATTCATGGTCTACAATTAATGGTCAGCTCCTCTATCACTTGAAAAGCATTTATTCACACATTCCATTTATTAAGTTTGTACTATGTGCTAGGCACTGAAATAACTAACCACATGAGTACCTACTGACTACCTGAGAGAATCTACTTTAGAGAATAACACACATAGTCATTAAAAATGATGGTTAGGGGGCAGCCCTTGTGGCGCAGTGGTTTAGCGCTGCCTGCAGCCCGGGGTGTGATCCTGGAGACGCAGGATTGAGTCCCAAGTCGGGCTCCCTGCATGGAGCCTGCTTCTCCCTCTGCCTGTGTCTCTGCCTCTCTCTCTCTCTGAATGAATGAATGAATAAATAAATAAATAAATAAATAAATAAATAAATAAATAAATCTTTTTAAAAAAAGATGGTTAGGAAGGGTGTTCAGTGTGTAGAAAAGGTTTACACTAAAATATTAACTGCTTTCCTACCTGTTCTAAATACTTGGAATACATGAGTATTCAAGACAGGCAAAATTCCCTGGAGCTTACTGCATTTATTCCTTAAAAACTCTCCCATCCTACTCAAAATCAGTTCAAACTTTTTCACTTTCTTCAACTTCTCTTGCCCCTGCTCCTAGCAGATGTGCCAGATCTCCACTTTTCAAAGGAACCAGAAGCCATCATATGGAACTTTTCATCATTAAAAACTCTTGCGTTCAGTCCTCTTTCTGCTACGTGAAAGTGGCCCTCTGAGAGTCCTTCCTTCACCTTCCTAAGCTAGGATGGTTGCTCTTATTCTCCCCTCCCTCACCGACACTGTCCACACCAGATTGTAACTAGTGCTTTAAATATCTGAGGGCAGAGATCTTGCCTACCCAGCCCACTGCTTTAACCCTAGGAGTGGCCTAATAGTATTTGGTTAGGGCAGGATTTCTTGGAGTGGCTCCGCCTAGGGCCTCCTCTGGGGCTTCCGAACTCTCCTCAGGCTTCCTAGTAGCTATCTCTTGAGGCATCACCTTCAGGCTGGACGCTTCCCGTCTGATCAGCCTCCATGGCTTGCGTGAGAGGTGAACGGGGCAGTGAAGCTCACAGCCGAGATACTGGTGGGATTCTTCCCACGCCCCAGGCGCTCCCCGCCGCGGGATTACCCCACCTGGACTTCAGGTGAGGCCTCTGGGTCCGGCGGCTGCGCGGAGGACCCGCCGGGGTGGGAGCGTCGAGGCGTGGCCTCCGCAGCGTCTTCACCTTCACTCCCAACTCGCAAGCCGCCTCAGTCTCCTTTCCCCTTCCCTTCTCTTTGCCCTCCGGTCCCCGCCTCCTCGTTACGGAAGTCTTGGTAAGGGCCCCGCCAGCAGCCCAGCCCCACTAGCCTAGCCACGTGGACATGGTCTGGTCCAGTGTCCCTGATAGGCCGGTGTCCTGAAAATGTCTGGACTCGTCAGGGGACAGTGGGACCTCAAGGAGCCACTCCTCCAGGAGAGGTCATTTTCTCAAGCTACTCTTGGTTCAGACTCATCCACGCGAGGGATGATGCCGGTCCTGGCCCCAGGCAAGTTGTTTCAGAGGAGATGAAGGGAGCTGTGAGGCCACGTGGGGGTGTCAGTGGGAAGGATGGGAAGGAGCCAGGCACCCGCCCATTATGGCAGAGTGTCTGGAGGCCTGGGGTGGGGCGCACTCATGGAGGCGCAGAGGCAGACCCGGGATCCCTTCTGTGGAGGCCCACCATGGAGAAGCCTCTAGCAGACAAGCAAGATCTGGGGTGCCTGGCTAGCTCGTCGTTAGAGTATTCGACTCTTGATCTTGGGATTGGGAATTAGGAGCCCCACGTTGGGTGCAGAGGCTCCTTAAATAATTTTTTTTTAAAGGAAAATCTGAGGCATCTGCCTTCAAATTCCAGGTATTGATACTTTACTGCATTTCTTGAGGGGCTACTATATGTCTGGTCTTGGGTTTGATAGGAACTTTAGCTATATTCTCATTAGAAGTAGGAAGAAATATTGCTGTCTTTTTTTTTAACAGTTGTTCTGATTATGCTGGTATTATATACTGACCTTAGAAGATATGAAAAACTAGGGGATCCCTGGGTGGCACAGCGGTTTGGCGCCTGCCTTTGGCCCAGGGCGCGATCCTGGAGACCTGGGATCGAGTCCCACGTCGGGCTCCCGGTGCATGGAGCCTGATTCTCCCTCTGCCTATGTCTCTGCCCCCCCCCCCCCGTGACTATCATAAAAAAAAAGGAAGATATGAAAAACTAGAAGAATCCCGTAGAATTTCGATCTCAAAATAATTTCCATAGCGTTTTGACATATTTCTTTCCAGACTTTACTATTTATTGCTATTCATTCATTCATTATTAGTCAATTTTTATATTGACTAAATAAATATAAGTTTTTGTAAGGTAGGAAAGCAGTTAATATTTTAGTGTAAACCTTTTCTACACACTGTACACTTTTCCTAACCATCATTTTTAATGACTATGTGTGTTATTCTCTAAAGTAGATTCTCTTAGGTAGTCAGAAGGCACTCATGTGGTTAGTTATTTCAGAACTGACTTCTATGGGCTTCAGTCTAGTAAATTCCAGTTGCTTGCTAAACATTCCCAAGCTCAATTTCCCACAGGTATGCCAAGCCTATCATTTTGTAACTACATCATTTTCTCCTTCTGTTCCAATCTGCTCTTCCTGTTGTGTTCCCTAAAGCAATCAGTATCACCTACTCACCCAGGCAAGAAACGGGATCCATTCTACACTGCTCCCCCTTTATTTTTTCCAACTTTTGCTAATTTTATCTGCTGTTTCTTAATCTGTCTCTCTGCTCCATTCTTATTTTCACCCTGTTAGGTCGGGCTGTCATCATTTCTCCCACAAACTGTGCAGTTTCCTCCTAGCTGATCTCCATTCCTCCAGCTTTGTCCATCTTAAATCCTCTCCCCTCATTACTCCTAAAGCAATCTACCTAAGACAAAAATGACCATGGTATCACGCTCTTTAAAATCCTTCAATGAGGCCATATTTCCTACATGGTATAGAGAACCCTCCATCTACAGATCTCTCTCTACTTCTTTAACCTATCTTGCCATTACCTACTTGCATTTGTTGTTCTAATAACAGAGGAATGTTTGTAGTTTCCCCTCAGCCCCCTGTGCTCTTAATTGCTTTCAAATCTTTGCCCATCAGGATTCTGATTTCTCTATCTAGAATGCCCTCACCACTTTTTTATACCTGGCTAATTCTTAAGTGTCCTTCTGTCCTAATTCAGGCATCATCTTCTTGGGTTAACCACCCTGAAGGTCCAGGTTGGACTAAATGTCCCTTCTCTCTGTTCTACATAGTGATTATCTCTGTCTCTTCAGTTAAAACATCCTTAACATACTTTAAATCTATTTACTTGGTGTATTTTTTCTTATAATTTCAGTATCTGCAGTCTGAACATCTTATTTTTCTGTTTTTAATTTCTGTAGACTTTTGCTTATGGAGGTCTGATTCCTTGTATGTTTGATATGCATATTATTAGGAGCTTGTATTTGGTTACATTTTAACTTTGTGAATCTTGAAGAGCCTGGATTGGGGTGATTTGTTTTGGTTTCTCCTCGGTGTTAGGGGACACTACCAACCTAGAACTGTTTCTATTTATTTCTAGTATTGGGATTTCTCAGTCTGTGAGCATGGTATAAATTCAAATCCCAGGACTGCATGAGACTAGGACTATGATTATAAATTATTAGGGAAAAATATTAACATTAATGTTGTTAGTCTTTCCACTCAGTTTTGCTAATTTTCTCTATTTTTCAAATTGGTCCCTCCTCCCAATTCTTTTTTTTTATTTTTTTTTATTTTTTATTTTTTATTTTTTAATAAATTAATTTTTATTGGTGTTCAATTTACCAACATACAGAATAACACCCAGTGCTCATCCCGTCAAGTGTCCCCCTCAGTGCCCATCACCCATTCACCCCCACCCCCTGCCCTCCTCCCCCTCCACCACCCCTAGTTCGTTTCCCAGAGTTAGGAGTCTTTATGTTCTGTGTCCCTTTCTGATATTTCCCACACATTTCTTCTCCCTTCCCTTATATTCCCTTTCACTATTATTCATATTCCCCAAATGAATGAGAACATACACTGTTTGTCTTTCTCCGATTGACTTACTTCACTCAGCATAATACCCTCCAGTTCCATCCATGCTGAAGCAAATGGTGGGTATTTGTCGTTCTACGAATTCCTCCTCCCAATTCTTAGTGTCACCAGAGACAGATTGGTTTTCTTGTTGGTTCTTATTGCCAACATGTAGATTTTTCTGGTCACTTCTTCAAGACACAGTCTTTTCAGGTGCTTGGCTTTATGTGCTGTTCTTGGATTCAGCTCCCTTACTTTGTCAAATCTAAATACTAGTCCTTAGTGAGGCTGATAACCAGCAAAGCTT